CATTGAATTCTCATTGCACTTGTTATATCACTAATATCTAGCAAAGTTAAACATTACATACCAGCCAAAAAGAATTTCATGCCTTTTTTTTTATGTAAGTTCCATGGTTTTCTCACTTCAGACTTCAGAGTAATTGAGTTTAGGGTACAACTTAAATAAGAACCCAATAAACAATAAACTTAAAGGTATTGATTAGATTTTACCATTGTTTTAAGATTTGACCGAGTCGATTTGACTAATCAGCCGAGTCAGCCAAAAAAATAGTCTAATCAACGCTTAGTCGGTACCTAAGCGCTACGTGCCTCTTAGCCGCCCGATTAGCGCTTAACGAGTTCTAGAACACTGGATTTTACTAGAAATCTTGAAATAATAAACTCAAAACCTATATAAATCAATGAACAAACCCGTATTGTCTTAAAAAAGATAGTAAATAAAAATCTGAACAAATAATGCACAAAAAAAAAGCAAGGATGAACAAAACGTGCAAAGCTACAACTACACAACACACAAAGTCAAGGTTCCTAGCTAAATTTCAGTAGAATTGGACCAAAGAAAAAGAAGAAAACGAATAAAATCAATGCAGCCAGCTAAATAAATACCTCCGTCCTACTGCCCCCTACCCCTCAGAAAAAACTTCCAAAATGTATGATGGAACTTCATCATTGCGAGGCATATATGTTTTTTGTTTAGTTTTTTTACGGAGCATAAAAAAACTTCGTATAAAGATTATAGATTGAATATTTCATTGTTTTCTTTCCTTAGTAACTAGTAAGAAAACAATGAAATATTCAATGAGCAGTTAGCAGTTTCTTGAATAGTAAATTTTTATCCTCATTTTGTAGCTAATACAAAGAAAAGGGGGAAAACTAAAATGAGCAGCAGGGGCTCCAATGAGTAGACGCAGACAATAATATATCAACAAAATGTAGATCAGCAGACGTGGTTTAAAACTTAGAAGTAAAAATCTTAGTTGACATTTACGAAGAGACATTCTTGATCATTTAATAAATTATGATACTATTAACATTCATGTTTGTGATTTTATAATATCAGAGAAAGAGATGATCTGCAAAACATTTCTTTGCCCAATTTTCATGTTTGATTTGTGATCATCATCATCACCCCAGTGCTGCAAAGGCTTCACACCTACGGTGGGTAAGAGGATCGGGTGTACGTAGTCTTACTCCTGTACTAAACCACGGAGAGAATGTTTCCGGATGATCCATAGTTAAAAGCGCGTCGAAAATTGTATGGACTTACTTCTGCTTCATTACAAAGAAGCACGACAGTTTAGTGAGTCATTTTGCTTTATTCCATCATATTCTCAAATAAAAAAATAATAAGTATTTGACACCATTGAAAATGATGAAAAAAGCGTATGATAGAAAAGAGTGATTTGTGATATTGGTCAAATTTTCAAAAAGCGTACATGGCGTCTTACCCTTCATATCTGGTGATAATGAAATTGAGTAATTTTGCTGTTTCTGAGATGGAACGGAATGGACCAATAGAAAAGCATTACCCGGACTCTAATGATAAAAAATCATTAACTTAACTACTTAAGCAAAAAAAGAAAAAAATCGTATGGGTTTTTGATCGTTGTAGAGCAGAAAAGAGATGGAATGAGATGGTGATGGGTAAAGTCTGAATTGCATAGGGCTGGTAAGTTCAAGAGTTAATATGTAGAAAGATTATTAGTTAAAGTTAAAAGAAATTTCATACCATTATAAGCTGAAGTGTCACGCCAAACATACCCCAGGCTTGTTTCCAAAGTAACTACTTTATTTTTTTTAATCATCAAAACAGGTCTCTATTCATATCAAAAGATTCAGCATCATTACATCAAACAAAAGAAAAATAAAACTGACACCAACTAACATTCCAACAACTACGCCTGTAATCCTATGGTGAGACTTTGAGACAGTCACCCCTGAAAGAGCAACTTGAATCGCTAACCATGTAATGAGCTTGACACAGCCAAATCTGTTCCCATAGATCCAACTTAACCATACCCAATGACATAAAGAGAGGTAAAAAACTCAAACAAACTGTCAAAACCAACAATAAAAAAGGACACAAGAAAACAAATAATAAACAGAAAAAAACTACAAGAAAAACGTTCACGAACTCTAGCACCTTGTACATCCCATTGTGGTGGTTCAGGAGGAGGTCATCCCACCGGTACCATGCTAATTGATCCTACATGACCTTTGGCCGCCAAAGACCATGCATTAATCCTCCGTCCCTACATAACTAAACTCATCCCTACTCCGTGCGACCAGAATAAACGGACAGGCGGCGCCGATCTCCTCTAATGACAACAGCATCGCCGCATCCTTAAGCCTTGACCATAGCGCCGATCTCCTCGAGCCATGACAGAAAATTCGCCCTCCTCCACTGATCTCCTCCCTCCACGTCTGCCCTGGACTCCGAATAAGAAAGTCTTCAGCAACACCGCTCGTCCCAAAACTAGGGTTGGGTCCGAAAAATCGAAAACCGAAAACCGAATCAAATCATACCGAACCGTAGCCAAATAAAACCGAACCGCTAACAAACCGAAACCGAATGTAAAAAACCGAACCGTAGTTGTTTGGTTCGATTTTGGTTTTTACCCTTCAAAATCGAACCGAACCGAACAAACCGAACTAGTTAAAATATAAAATTTATTTGTCCATTGTTAAGCATTAATCCCAACTAATCCTAATATCATTAATAGTTTTTGGTTTTCTTGTGCTAGAGAAATAATGTTTGTTATGTTTAGTTTAGTTTATGAATTCATTTACACATTCATTGCACGTAATAATGTAGCTATATTGATAATATGTTTTTACTTGTTATTAGTATTAATTAACTTTTATTTTTATTTAACTTAAAGAATTCGTATTGATGAAACAATAAATATTTATCTCAACTATATCACACATAACGTATATACTTATGAACTTTTTTTGAACTAGTCACAAACAATGTAAATTAATAATATATACTTTTATCTCTCTCTCATACTCATAATTATGACATATTTATTTATTTTCATTTTTATTTTATTTGTTGTAGTGTGCTTGCATTCTTTATGTAATATATGTTTGATCCCTCAAAGTATTATATCAATTTTAAATCAAATGATAATTTTTTAGTAAAAAACCGAAAAACCTGAAACCGAATCGAAACAAACCGAACCAATTAAACCGTGGTTCCAAATTTTGGAGTGTAAAACCGAACCGAAATCGAACCGAACTTTTTACTTTGATTCTATATTTGGTTTTAGGTCAAAACCGAACCCACCCCTACCCAAAACTGCTTGCCGTGAAGCAGAAGAAACCCTGCAACAAGTTCGAACCCGAACTCCGCGTCGTCGCTCCCCAGGCCAGAGAACGCCAATCACCGAATCAGGAAAATTGGCCGAAGCCACCGGAACCCACAACCGAAATGACCACCGCCCGAAAGATAAGCTCTAGCGGCAGGATGCCCTAGAGAGAGAAAAACCCTTCGCTTAAGTAACTACTTTGTTTTTTGTTTTTGGTAAAAAGTAACTACTTTGTTAAAACATACAAATATACGAAGTATTTACTAGCTATAATTCTGAAATTACGAGGGTATAAGGATGTTTTTACTTGGACTGTAATTTGTCCCTGACCAGACCAGACCAGACCAGTCCAGAACAGACCAGTTCAGACCAGACCACACCAGACCAGACCAGACTTGGATAGTTATAAAAATACAAAGAAACCAGACCTTACCAGACCAGACCAGACCAGTTCAGACCAGACCAGACCAGACCAGATTAGACCAGACCAGACCAGCAAATTACAGTCCAAGTAAAAACATCCTAATTAGGCATTCTCAAAACAACCAATGTCTTAAAATAAAGGGTGATTCTATTTACAACCCCTAAGTTACTAATCACAGCCACCAAATTAAATATTACTCCCTCCGTCCCCCTTATATTGTCCCATTTTACCTTTTCGGGAAATCCCACTAAAATTGTGGCATATCACATTCGGTAAAGTATGTGTGATTCTAAATCATTCTTACTTTATTCTTACCTTATCAATTAATATCAACCACACAAACCCATTTTTTTAATAATCGTGACACCCCGTTCCGTACCAATATAAAAGGGACGGAGGTAGTAGTAAACTCTGTTGTAGAAATCGTTCTAGGCATCCGACTAGTCCCCTCCTAGACGCTAGGCGGTGGTCGGACGCCCCGATTTTCATCTAGGCACTCCGACTAATTGGTTTGCCGTCTAGGTGAATTAGTCGGCCGCCTATAGCGCCTAGTTGCCAGCCTAGAGCTCCTAATCAGCCGCCTAGGCCGTCCTGATTGATTGAACATTACTTCACTTTTTAATTTTAATTTTCTAAGCGATATATGTACTTTAACTTTAGCAATGAATTTAAAGAAATGAAATTCTAAATTAAGATAAAACTATATGCGTTGGTACATATACCTAAATTTTATCATTAATTATTTATATTTATAAACATAATGAAATAAAGTGATTAGGTATGATATACTACATATGATTAAACGTGATAATTCTATCATTCATGTATGTTAATGTGTATGTACATATGTATTTTGTAGACACAAAAATACAATATTACTTATCAAAATTTTGCAAAAATATAGATAAAAATGTAATTTTTATGTCTTTGACTAGTCTTCGACTAGGCACCCGCCTAGCCGCTTAGGTGCTGGGCGCTGGACGCTGGGCTGGCGTCCGACTAGCGCCTAACGCCTTTTAGAACATTGGTAGTAAATAAATAAAAATCAACACCTAAATTACCCTCAAAGCTACACGTATTTGGGTGACCTTGAAACAAAAACAAGCTCAAGATCTATGAACTGCTCTCAACTCTCATGATTTACGGGTGGTAGTCTGGTAGACTGCATTGAAGGATCTAATTTTTTAAACATATATGTATATGGAGCATCAAAAGTTGTACTGTTTTCTGCTATGTATTTCGCCATGAGCAAAAATCCTTTCGAAGTTCTGGAGATTGCTGCTATATATACTTGGATTTTTGGTACAACTATTATGAGTTGGTACAAGTGCGTATCTAATTTGTAATATGACCCTTAACCCTTTCTAACTGACTTCTTGAAGGGTGGATGAACTAAAAGTAATTTAACAACATTTAGTGAAAGATTGAGGCACCTAATTTTCATAGAATTGTATGGTATAATACACTGGATAATTGATCTGCAGTACTGCTTTGAGCCTTTGAATCACCGGCCAGTCAGACAGGAATAGCTGCAAACAAACGCGACCAATTACCCATGGAAAAAGGGCTTCATATTAAGGAGAACTCTAGGCTAAAGGAGTGACTCTAATCTTGCCCCTAATCTTGGTTAATATCAAAGGAAAGCAAATATGGGACAAAACTTTACCCCTTCATGTGGCCGGGACCACACCTATCCAGCGATGAAGAAACTCTCCCACCGGCAAGATCACACAACCACAAAGACTCCTCCACCGCTGAAAGTTTAGGAATATAGAGCTCTGAAATACCTTCGATTTGATATATTATGGATCCCGTAACTCATTACGAGTAAAAAGTTATGACTTCTGGAAAAATCAGTACCATCTTAACTTGAAATAAGCAAAATTTGATGTATGGTGTTGATTATATTCTTAAATTTAAAAATAATACACCTTATTCAGTCATTAGTTGTGTAAACATTATAATACATTACTTATATATCAATACATTAACCGAAAATGCCCATTAAACTATCATTTATCGAAACATTTAACTCAAATATTGCATAATAATTATCCATCATTTTGATACTGTATATAATTAAACTCTGCCCCCCTCACACAATTTTCTGGCTCCCCTGATTAGAATTTCCCTAAAATAAATTCTTCTATCTAATATAATATAGAATTAGCAAAATCGACTCATTCTGGTCCCCATCATCGTCCCTATTCTTAAGAGGACTCGTCCTCGATCCATGCATTTGGTCAAGATCACTTCAGGAAGTTTGACGTTTAGGAATCTCTTCACTGGGAATGATGAAAATACGATGCTCAATTCCATAAATGGGAAGTAAATCGATGGGCATATGAAAACAATACGATATATTCTTAGATATGTCGTACATTACTAATATGGGTAAACGAGAATTTGTGAAGCAAAAGAATGTCAAAGATTTTTAAACCTTCTTCATAGCTAGTAAACAATCAACGGTGTTGGCTTGTACAATCTCTGCACTCTGTTTAAGTCTTTCAGACTCCCCCTCTAAGTGATGTGGTGTGACTTTAAATGGATGACTTCCTTCTTCATCCTTCACCAATATGTGTAATCTGAGAAGTGTAATTTTTGTTCATTTTATGGATGACTACAATGAATTGTGGTTGTACCGTACTCCCAATCAATCTCCCATGGTTGTCCAAACAAGATACGTGGATTGAGAAAAGAATGAGAGTTTGATTTTGTATCTTGATTCCTGCACTATTAAGCCACTACAGCCTCTATGGTGTTGGATTCCTTCATAAGAGCCGTTGGGTGACCAACCAATAGGAAAACAGGAAGAAAGAATAAAAAATAAGCTAAATAGCAGTTAGGGATCATATCGGGACCAGCGAATTTGGGCATTCTTGGGCACCCGGGACCGGGGAACCGGTTCTGGTCTATACCAAAGACTGAAAACTGGTCTTCTGATGGTCCCAAGACTAGGCATGGCAATGGGTCGGGGCGGGTACTGTAAGACCCAGACTCGCCCCGTCCCGTGACCTGCACGGGTCCAAACTTGTTGACCCATGACCCGCCCCGCCGTAACCTTATTAGATAGTATGTATTTTTATTTGTGGTTAGTTGTTACCAATTGAATCTACATAAAGTTTATCTCTAAATAATAATTAAAAATTAATATATTAAATCAAATTCATGATACCCTAAAAATTTCAAAAATTAAGGAAATATTACTCAGACTTGAATAGTTAATCAATTTAATTATATTAATAATTGAACATATGTATTAAAATGCTATATATAAAGAAGACATTGATAATCTGTCGTTCATCTCATTCTAATATATGTATTAATATATTATAAGATCAAAGAATTTATGATTTACAGTATACACACATGTATGTTGAAGTATATTTGTAGTATAATTTAAGAAAAAGTATTTATGCTTATGTATTGAGCGGGTCAGGTCGGGTCGGGGCGACACAGGTCAATACTAATACCCGGACCCGCCCCATTGTATAGGCGGGGCGGGGCAGACCCGCCCCATTTGGAAGTCGGGCCGGACCGGACCCGCCCCAAATGTCTCGGGCCAGGGTGGGTCAATGCGGGTCGGGTGTTTTTGACATCCCTACCCAAGACTGCCAGCATTCGGGCCAGACCGGTTCACCCCTATAATGTAAATAGAGTGATCTCTATTTAGCATGAGAAGCTGGGTAACAACAAATTATTGGTGATGATGCACTCATTTTCCACAAACCTGAATTTTCTTTTCATTTATGCAAAACTAGTCTCAATCTATCGATTCCAACCAGATCCTTGATATGGAAATCTTATTTACAAAAACACAGGTAGTATAAATTATTTTGTGTTTAATCTCTAATGTCATTTACAAAAACTGAAACAAAAACAAAATTACATTGTTCAGATATTTTTGTTTCGTTTGGCCGGTTCATCCTCTGAAATTGTTAAATGAGGTTGGACAGTAGGGTCAGTAGGGTCCTAAATGTTCAATGTGTCAAACTACTCATACACAAATGTCAGAATATGCAACTTTGGACGACTTCAAAGACAGAGAAGCACTGCCGACTGGGGTGGCAAAAAAATCAGCTCCGCTTTCAATATCATCAGTTTTGATGCCTCCTGATTGAGCCATTAGTATTCTGTACACTCTCTTTGAACAAACCTCTCCTAACCTTCTGTTGTCTCCAAACAAACCATCAATTCTCAGATCTGAAAGCAGAAACTCCTTTTCATGTACCTGAAAATCATCCATACCATCAACCATTCCAATCCAACCTCCAGGAAAATAATCCGTAATTAAAAAAAAAACACAGTTCGATGCATACTGATTTATTAGGGTCCATATATACACTCAAGAGAGATTTCATTGTTGGATATTTCTTCCCAATGGTGATGGCAAATCGTGGTTGTACCTTAGGAATCGCTAGGAGTGCTTTCAACCTGCATCAATTTGTATGGATCAGTCGTACTACCACCAAGGGGACAAAATATCTGACAGCTTTTTGCACAAGTGGGGTCAATCAAATCCTGATAACATGAAACTCTTCTAAATCAATAGCTCAAGTAGCCTAAGTTGTCAGTGGTTTGACTCTTATAAATTTGACATTGTGATCAAGCCCCTTTGGTATATTAATCAATAGATCAACTAATTCTTTGACCAGTATATTAATCATAATAGCATTTGACTTGCTTATTTGGCCAAAGCGTTTTTTCCCAAGCTTAAAGCTAAAACTCCAATATTATTAATTGATGATTCCAACAGTCCTTCTTAGGGGTTTAAATAAACCTCTAAGTCTTAACAAGAATAGGAATCCTAATTAAACCATACTAGAAAACTAAATAGAATAGGAAACCTCTAATTCTAAAAAGAATAGAAGTCCTAATTAAACCATTCTAGGAAACTAAATAGAAATAGGAAACCTCTCATTCTAATAAGAATAGAAGTCCTAATTAAATCATACTAGGAAACAAAATAAATTAGGAAACAAAATAAAAGGAATAATTAAAATAACTAGAACAAGCCCACGAAGCTGGGCTCAAGCCCGTCCCCACCTACGGTAGACCAACAAGGGCCTGGGGCTCGGATCCGCTTCCTGCGCCCCTCCCTGCTCTCTATCATTCAGCCATTTCAACTAAATAATTCTTACCAAAGAATCGACTACACATGGATTCAAGGTAGAACATTGAAGGAAGACACCTAGATGTATATCAAAATTTTGCACATTTTGTTGTTGTGGATATGTTCAAATGGGATGACATCACTAGATAATTTGGACTACTTGACATTGTGACGTCAACTATGTTGAAAGAGCTCACCATGTGCTATTCTTTATCAGATCTTTGTCAACACAATCCTTGGGAATAAGGGATCCATTTGCCTTTATTGATAGTCTAGACAACTTCTTTCTGGAATGAAAACAGAGAACACCATATATCAGATAAGAGAACTGAATTTATCCTCCCTATTCATATTTCTTCAAGAAGATTAAGTAACCATATTAAGATGATATGAAGTGTGAGCATAGCACATCAACTATTGAATGTTTTTCAAAACGTAAACAGAAAGCAATTCACTTAAGCAAGCAAGGCACCTAAATTGGCAAGATGCAAGATTACATGTTAAACACACAACATGGTCTGCTACTTCAGCTTCATCAGCACACTGTCTTGAATGCACATCCACAAACTGAGTCGTTAATTTTGCCAAAACCTGCAATGAAAGTTGATCTTTAGAAGTGTAACATAAAATATATTTGCGATACATGTCTGTAATAAGGGCTGTCCAAACCTCCTCAATAGGGGGACGTTTCCAACCAGCATTATTGGTAGGGTCCTTGTAATGGCTTTGCTCCCTATTACATAATAAATACATCATTAGCAATCTCATGAAGTCGGTTCATCGAGTTCAGACACTTTCAGAAGAAAAGATAATTCGTACAATAAGTTGATGACATAAGCAGTTAAGCACCAAATATTGGATTCAGAGTCACTGCTTATTCCATCAGCAGATTGAAAGGGATATCTCTCTCTCTCTCTCTGGTCATATTGACCAGAAACCTGCATCCTGATCTCAATCAAGTAGACAGAACTATGACCAGGGCCATGGTTGGAGGTAGATAAGGATAGGTACACCAAAATTATACTCTTTTATATCACTTAAAGAAATCAAGACACAGGAGAAGGAACCACTAACGATCATTTTAATGTCATATACATGATGAAACAGATGTAGAAAGTCCCAATATATTAGTGTATCATAACTGATGGAAGTTAGAAAATCCTATCTAAAAAACAACTAAACAAGTACAGATAGTACATAATACCTTTTATTAACATAAGCCGTAAGCCTGTTTGTGAGACAGCAGAGCTTATGCAATGGAAAAAGGCTCCGTGCATTGGAAACATGATTTAGGAGAGATCCATTCAAGACAAGGTTGCAGAACTCTTCAGCCTCATATAAGAGTAACACATAACGAATGTCGACGGGTTCAAAAGAAATCTGAAGCATATAAAATAAGCTCTATGGTGTTAAAAATACCTTCATGATGAAGATGGCAGGGCTTAGAGAGCAAATAAGAGATATAAGAATTTCAGCAAACAGAGGATCCATATTTATAAGCAAATAGCAAGTGTCTGGGTTTCTAATATCACATTCAGAAAAGAACAAAGGAAGCAGCATCAATTAGCACTATATTATCAGCAACATTTATATTTTAACATGGCCATGATCACATAATGCAGCCTCAAGAAGTTATTCATGGGGGGAGGCTCAAACTCTCGATGTGAATATCATGAATTTTCAAGAGACATTTTTCATTTTTTTTAATGACGCAACAATCAAGAGCTAAATTTTATTTCTTGCATGTTTTCTTCGATATAAGCGATTTTATAGGTTCAAATCCAACACAACACTACCAATTTTACTCTCTGTCCAGAAATGAACTTTACACTTTCCTTTTTATATGTCCCAAAACTATCATTAAATTTCCCTTTTCAGAAAAAAATGAATGGTATTTCATATTGTTTCTCCCCTTTCTATATAGAACTCGACCACACAATTTTATAATCTAAAGCATCATGCCAAAAGTTAAACTCTGATTTCATACGTCGATTCATGTTAGCTGACCCCAAACTCTTTTGAGACTAAGGCTTGGATGTTGTTATTGTTGTTTGTTAAGCATCATGTCAAAAGGAGCTCTAAAGATAAGTCTAGATCAGAGGGTGTACCAAATATCATCTCTATAAGGAAAAGCTTAAAATAGATAAACATGTCCCATATTCTACTCTAGCACGCTAGACATCTGGCCTCCAAGAGATCGTTAAATAATCTAATCCATTAAGAACCTTCAAATACTGATCTGGATGTAATATTTTTTACTTATAATGTCAGAAACTAATGCAAGGGGAGGACATGCAAGAAGCATAAGATTCCATGCTAGCAATGTCATATGCAGAACTGCATTTGAAAAAGGAGATGCCGACATGGCGTTGTTCAATATGGATGAGCCAAATCTTGACTATTTTGAAGATGAAGTTACCTCTGATAATTTTTCTGGAATGCTCATAGTCCATAGAATAGACTTTTCTATTGGATTTGATGTTATTCGGTAAGAAATACCTTTCTCTGCAAGTCTTGTTATTAAATGTCCTGAAATATGAAAGCAACCACAAACAGTGAATGATTTAGTGGGTAATGAGCTCACTCAAATAAACACAATCACCACGGTTAATCACAATTATGTAGTGTCAGTACTCAGTAAGTCAGTAGCATGAAACTTTTATTGTCAAGAAAATTGCTAAAATAGTTACAACAACAAATTCATGCAAAGAAGGATAATGAGATGAAATTCCAAAATGGAGATCATTAGTGTTTTCTAGTTATATAGAAAATATTGGGTGGCATTAATGACTTTAGATGGTTGCGATGGTCAAGTACGAGTAGCACATTGATATTGAAAAATCAACAAACATCATGATATAAGGCTTTCAATAAAGAGATGAAAAAGATACAGAGTAATCAATGACCTCCTATTGGACCTAGTTCCACTACTCTTG